TGATTAGTCCCAACAAAATCTGCCTTTTTTCTTGTGAGTCTAATAATGAAATCCATGTCACATCATTGATATCACTTAGCATTAAAAATGAGGAGAAATGAAAAGATAAACTGTTATAATTGAAATGTGCTGATTTGATGTTTTCTAGGAGATCTTAGAAGATGGAATGCAGAGCCTTCTTAGGCTAAGATGAGGAGAAATGATTGCTAATATTGGCTTAAAATTCCTATTTAGTTTCATTTTGTTTCCTGCACCAGAGTGAGCTCAAGTTGTAAAAGGCAATTCACATCCAGTATTGAATTTATCAGTAAGACACTATTTGTATCCTTCAGTGTTTCTCAGTTGGAAAGCTCCCTAAAGACAAATATTTTTCTTAAATACTTTTTATAGATTCTGGCTTAAATACCATATTGAACATATTGATTCATGACACTGGAAAAACTGTCTATGGGGAAGTCTAGTGTTTAAATACCAGATGTTAAAATATTTTTAATGTTGAATTGAATTGATAAGTGACCCATAACCCTAATGCTTCCCATAACCATAAAAAGCGGTCTTTTCAAATTTTATAATACCTCATGAAACACTGGTTTTAATTTATTTCTCCTTGAAAGACCTCTCTGAGAATATTTGCATTGTCAGCAGCTTAAATTGACCACAGAAATGATAACTAAATAATTTAGAAAATTGTAGGATGATTTAGGCATTTAAGATGTGTATAAGGTAATTAAAACCAAACTTTAGAAGGGCTAAGGCCATACTGCAGTTGGTTATTCTACAGCTGGGGTCACTGCCTAAGTTGTACAAAGGCATATGTTCAATTTACAGTTGTAATGAGGAACATGGGATGTTTTGATTCTTCATTTGTTGTGCTCATCTCTAGAGGATGCAATTGCCTACATTTAAAAAACGAACATAGGCTCTTTTGTGGAGGATAATAAAAATGTGTAAAATAATACATATAATACATGCCACATGCATGTATGGTTGGCATATGACTCTTCTGTAAGTATGGAATTGTTGCCCTTAGCTGCTATCGTGATTTAAGATCATGGAATTGTTCATTATTATCCACTTAGGAATGAGACCGGTTCTTTTGATTGCATTAGTTTGATCATGATTACTCCATTTTAAGTAATGCACGGTGTTTATAAATGTGTTTTCAGTAGATTATTCACTTAAAAGTGCATTTTGGTTTTTTTTTAATCTGAAAAACAAAGAGAAATATAGGTTGTAAAATTTTCCTTTGTCTCATGTTGAATTCATACATATAAATAAAAAATGTAAAGAAAGATTTTTCCTTTTTTCTTTGTTTTGTGATTTTTAAAAATGAATGCCATTGGGGTTCCAATTTTTTTGATGTGTTGATTTACTTGAAAATTCCAGTATGTGCTCTAGAGATAAACTTAAAGAAATACTAGCAATATCACATTGCTGATATTTAGTAAGAGGGACCAACTCTTATTTACTAAAAAATTGCATTCATCCCAATTATCTTTCTATAAGGTTTGCTGAACCACAACGAACCAGGCTATATTCAGAGCCCTAATTTTGGTTTAAAACAAAACAAAATAAGTATAATCTTTTCTTTGAAAAAAATGCATGAAAGAATGAAATTTTTAATTTCTTTGATATGGACAATTATTGAAATTGGTATAAAATACAAAAATAAATATTTTTAAGTCTCTTTTAAGTAGGTGTACCTAACAATTGTTTTTGTGCCTGCCCAGCACTGCTTTTTCTTCATGCCAAGTTCTCCACCACTTCTGATCCTTGGTCTGTCAAAATCTACACCTTGCTTCCTTGTTGTCATCTGAGTAAAAATTGACCCATCACTTAACATACTGATTGGTTCAGAGATTAGTGTGTTATCTAAGCCTGGTCAGTGAGGGTCATTCCTAAGATATTTCCATTTTGGGATCTTGATTTTAAAAAAAGGGGGGGGGGTGTTTCGAGTTTGGAACTAAAGCAAGTAAATTGGAGGTAAGCAGCAGCCAACCACAGAAAGTCAATCTGAAATAAGAAGAAATAAGTGTCTGAGGGAGCAGATATCTGCTGGTTCATTGTCCAGTTCTGGTAGGATTTAGAGTCACCCCTTTCCCTCAGCACCCTTCTAAGATATGTCATTTTTCTTCTTAGAGCTTGGTTTAGTTGAAAAAGTCTTGTCCAGTGAAATAGACAAGAACTAATTGACATGTTATTTTAATGTGTCTGAGGTGTTTTAATGTATGAGATTATCTTCTATTAAATATTTCAAGATTTCTACATATCTTTATTTAGACAGTTTGATTTACTAATAAGAAAAAGTTTAACTTTACTTCCCCGAATAATAAAAGCCTGAATTAACAACATCCAAACTGTTATAACTGTACAGTGTAAATACTGATACATTTAAGTTGTATCCATAAACTTGCTTAGGTCCTAGAAACAACCTGCATTATTATGTATTTTTTTTCTCTCTACTTTTTGAATCAAATTCATTGGCTTCTTCCATCCCTTGGAAATCACATTTTGCAGCCTCTTGGCTTTCCTCTAGAAGTCTTTCATTGTTTCACAAGGCATCATTGTTTTCATTTCATTTTTCTTTATCCACTGTGTAAACTAGGTGGACCCAATACTTAGTAAAACTGAAAGCATTTGGTTGTTATTAGAGTAAGGATAGCCGACTCACACGACTCACACATGCAAAACATTAAAGAAACCTTACAAATGTTTGAGCAATTTTTTTCTGTTGTTGTTGTTTGGTTCTGTGGGGCATTTAACCACATCCTGCCATGCATACAACCCTCTAGCTTCTTACTTTATTACCAGGTAGAGTTTTAGGCTAATAAATAAGGACAATATTTTGATTTTCTTTTCCCAGCATCTTTATTGTATTTTTTTAAAATGTAACATATTATACACTGTTCAGCCTTTTGGGAGGTAGGAGAAGGGAGTGATTCCGTACCTTTAACCGAGTCTCCTAAGAACCAACATTCTCATGGTCACGGCTTTGTGGCTGACACACCTTGACTTCTGGGCTAGGGCCCACACTTCCCACAGAGCAGAACTCCCAAAATCTGGATTTTTTTTTTTTTAAAAACTACAACATTCAGAAATTGAACTTCTTTTCCTTCAGTAGTTGCAAAAGGGACCAGAATTCTCTATCAATATTGAACAAAGATGCCATTTTTAAATGCAGAAGAATCTCATTACTCCTTACCAAACTGTTTCTGTATTTATCTCTGATGGGATATGTGTGGGGAAGGATGTGGGGGGGAGGGGAAGAGAGGGTTTCTATTTTTGGACACTGAAAGCTTTGATACATTTTGCTAGAAGCTGTTTTAGTGTCTTGAGTACTGTAATGATGACTGTTTACACATAGCCTCTTTAGTAATCTAAATGACTATGTGAAATAAGAATCCAGTTTGTGCCCTATTTGCTGTTACTGTGGTCATCTAATACTACATTTGTCTCACCAAACATTTCATTTTGGTTGTGGGTGGTCCATGTTCATGTGTCAGGTGCAATTATTATTTTAAAATAAAAGAAAACAGGTATCTAATTTCCATAGGAATATATTACATTATAGCTCTCAGGCTCAGCTCCAATTAAATTTTAACATACAGAATCCAACCACAAAATTAAACATTTTTAGAATCCCATTTGTCAGAAAACAAGTTGGAAGCAAAGTATTATGAAATACAACTTTAGCCAAACCAAAGAAAGCACTGTACCTCAAATGCATTTCTTTTGAAATACCATCTTTTTAAAGGAATCACAAAAATATAAGTTACTTTATGGGAAAATTTCTTAATAAAGCTAATTTTGAAATGACAGATTAAATGGAAGCACTAGTTCAACACTGGTACAAATAAATTACAAGAGGATCACAAAACACCAGACTTTCTAGAGATTAAACTTTAGTAAAAAGACACATCTGGCTAGTCTTTTCCTTGTACCAAAATACTGTGTCCAAACAATAAAAACAAACAGACTTTTTCAAAATAAGAAATATGAAGATAAAACTGCAGCATCAATATAGTCTTATAGTTAGTTATCACTTAAAGTATTTAGAACAAATAATATTTCTCTACATTTTAAACAATCACTACAGACACTGCAAATAAGGCTTATGTACTTATTTAGTGGAATACAATGTGATGATGACTGGTAAACTTATGTACTGCTTTCTATACCTGCTCTAACAAAATGAATTTTGATATGGTTACATTATGGAACCTTCTAAAGCTCTTTAAATTTACAGAAGATAAGTTTTATTTGGTTTTGTAAAGACTAGATCATACAGTTTGAACAGGCTTTAGTATATGGTTACACATATACCAGGATATAGTTGCTCAGTTTAAGCCCCTGGGAGAGTTGCACTTCATACCAAATTCCTTGATGGTCCTTTTGGGGAGGTGCATTATATGGAACTTACAAAGGGTTCTTATATATGTAGACAATCTCTTCATCATTTTCTGCTGTTACATGTGGCAAGAAATCATTAGTAAATAATGAGGCCAGGATACTAAAATGTATTTAACAATTAATTTTCCTTCTTTTAGTGTATTCTTGGAGATGAAGTGATGTATTGAAAGAGAAGAATTTAACTTTCTGGTCTATTTTTTAGGAAAGGAAGCCTTAGGAGTAATACATGTTGTTAAGTGATGGCACATCTCTCACTCAATCTATGGCATTGCACTGCCATATTTATTACTGATGATTCTTATTGCAGAAGTGCAAATTAAGTCGACTGATAGCACATGGGGCACTCATACTGCCTCCCTAATCTCATCTCCTAGTTTTGAAGTGTTTGCCAAGTTTTCAAAACACTTTGTCATAAACATGCATATGGTGTGCCAAAGAAAAAGAGAAGGTAGATCAAAGGGCAGCTGCTGAGGATATTCTTTAAAACCCCAAAAGATATTTAACATCCTATTAAATAAATAATTTAGAAAGAAATAGAAAAGGATGAAGGCAGAATGCACAAGCATACCATACTATTTGTACTGTTAAAACAGTTTCACACTAACATGTTTATATTTTTAAATCCTATCCAATTCTTCCACCGTGCCACACCCAAACCTTCTTTGGTTGTGCAGATGATATGACCCAAGTGCTTTCTAGTAAATGCTTGTGTGTCTTACTGCTCATTGAATCATTAGGCTTGAATGAGCAAAGAAAGTCTTTGATAGGAGTCCATATTCCATAAATAACTTTCCTGAAGATCATTCAGCAGATTGTTCCATGTTCTATCTCAGAGGTTCAAAAGCAAAAAGTTTAACAGCAACAACAACAAAAAACCCTCCACAATGTGGTTTGCTTGGGAATAACTTCCATCCAATTCGATCTGCCTATATCTTGGTTATAAGGCATGACAGAGCTAATGAAAAGAACATCATATGTCAGCAGTGAGTACAAAAATCTCCAAAGCAAGTAGACATCTGCAACGTGTCTTTGCCTTTTGTGCTACTGTCTTCATGAGGAATAGCGAATATTTTCTGGCCAAAGAGCCTTTGTTTCTACTGCATCCACAAACATTGCCTTCCTCTAGGAGTGGACCACCATTGGAAGAAAGTGAGCTGAAGTGTTTTTCCTTCGTGTTTTCTGTCCTCTTCTGGGAGCTCCTTTTCCATTCAGTGCCACATACATTTGCCTGCCATTGTGCTGCCAATTAAAGGATGCATAGGTATTGTATCCATTTTCCTCTATCCTCTCCTTCAGCTTACAGTCATTGTTAAATTCTTTCTGCAAGGGAAAAATATAATCTTTAATTCCTATGCTGATGGTGATTCCATGTGGCATGAGCTATCTGAGGAACTACAGTTAACAGTCTTGCTTATAGTTGCCATTTTTACATGGATTGCGCACATACAATACCAACCACACAAGGGTAAAACTCCTAACCACAAAGCAGATTCTGTGCTTGAAAGCACATGGCTCATGTTGATCAATCATCATAGCCACATATTCAGGCCCTTGTTAAAAAAACTGGCATACTTTGAATATGACATAGTTTAAGTGCCTAGAATTACTGTCAAGAAGCAGACATCCCATAATATTTGTGATGAGCTAATAGTAAAGATAGTGTTATAATCCTTTCTTTTATGCCAGTCTATTTGGGAGTTAGCTATCTCTCTCTCATTATCACATTTTCAAATAAATATATTTCATCATTAAAATTAGTTTAATCTTTTATTCTAATTAAAATTGTTTACATATTCTTCCTTCATATAAATTAACATTAGCTGACATCCTAAAAATGTTGGTTTTTGACTGTATATGTGTATCTTTGTCTCTTCAAAGAATATTCACTTGGTGGTCTTATCCAATAATTTGATGGTAGATCAAGGAGGGACCTGTGAATGTTTAGTAGATATTTTAAAAGAGATCAGGTCTGCCTTTTTTTCTTCTTCTTTTTTTTTTTTTTTGTTCAGAAAATTTAATGGAGAAAACTGAAAAATGCACGATTGCTAAGTGGCATAAATTGGTAGGGTATCTGTGACTTTTCTTGTAATGAGGGCAAGCCACATGACTTTCTGTTCTAAATAAGGACGGCGGTGAGAAGATGCAGCTAGTTCAATGATGGCCATTACACATTGGACTTAACAATGATATTAATGCTGTCCTCATATCTCCCAAGTGTGCTCTCACTTTATCATGTGTCGAACTCCTGTGCTCAAGTGCTCCGCCTGCCTCAACCTCCCAAGTAGATGGGAATACAGGTGTGCACCTCTGCACCTGGGTCCAGGCATGTTTAATGAAAAGAAAGCAAAAAATGCCTCAAAATGATTATGATGTGAACCCCTTAAATGGAACCATTTTTAAAATGTCCCATTGCTCTTTTGGGCTCATTATTAGAGGGATATATATGACAGACATGTGATATCTGTATGCTAGATATCTATCTATGATATATATGTGAGTAATTTAACTAAAGTTCCTCTGTCCCTCATGCAAAAAGCACTTATCCTGGTATACTCAACTTCCCAAATGAAAGTGGACCTGGTACAAATAAAATACATGACTAATCTATGTCCACACCACTGGTTCTCAACTTGAAGTTACTGATCCAGCAGCTTGAGTAACACCTGGGACTATTTGCTAGAAATGCAAATTCATGGACCTATCTCAGTCTCACAGAATCAGACAATCTCAGCCACTATTCTGTTTTAACAAGCCCTTCTACTGATTCTGATGGATACTCCAGTTTGAGTGCTACGGGCCATCCTTATGCTAATTAAGAAAGTAAGTTTATGTGCACATTTAAAGTGAAATTCTTTTTCGATCCTATGAAAAAAATAAAAAAGACACAAGATCTGGTTAGTGAAAATATGAGATTTTAAGTGAACTGTGCATAGGTTTAATTATTATTATATGTCCTCCAAAATACAATTAAGTTTTTTTCCTTTTTTTATTGTTGTGTTGTGTGGGGGGTACCTTGTGTTGTTTACAGTAGTTCTTACAATATATCAAATGTATTGTACTTGAATACACCCCCTCCAGTATTCTTCATACCTCCCTCCCCCCATTCCTGGAATAGTTTCATTTTTCCGTTTACATACATGTGTACATAGTATTTGCACCATATTCACCCTCCTTCACCATTTCCTCACATCCTCCCCTTTCCCTCTAGTAATACCCCAGGAACTCAGAAAAAAACTTAAATTAATTCAGCATTCTTTTGATCTATTTCTGGGACTAATGCAATGAAATGCATCCATAGTCATAAACTAATCTATGTCAGGCAATTAAGAGACAGAAGTATAGCTCCTAACCTTATCACAAGGCTGCTATACTACTTCTGGTCCCTCCTTACATTTAACAATTAATCATTCTGCAATTATTTCATATTCATTAGCACTTTTCCTATATAGATTATAAATTACTCAAAGTTAAGGCTCATTTGCTATACTCCGCTCTTATACTTCTTCAGTATGTCAAACAGTATCTGCCATAGTTCATATGACTAATTGACAAATACTGACAAATTTCTTCTAAAAATCTGAACATGTTTATAACCGTGTTTTAATTACAACTGCAATTTTAATTCTAAATAACTACTTATTATTTTAAGTGAGACCTAAGTCTAAGAGAATTAGTCTAAATGAGTTTGACGTAAGAGTGCAGAGGTGGTGGGTAAACTACTATGGAACACAGGTATGGGTCTACCCAAGGCATTGACTGATTGCCAGCTCTTTAAGGACCATACTGCAAGGAAAAACATTTTTACGTACATCTATGACATTCAGGCATAATATGAATTGATGACTATCGTCAAGGTAAATTGAATTCCTGAGTTCACTGAATAACCTGCTAAATAGTGCATTTCTTGATGTTTCCCCATTTCAGATTTTTAACAAAATGCAAAACATCTGAGTCCCTTTTTTATCTTCAGCTGTCACACACACACACACACACACACACACACACACACACACATAATACATGCTTCTCTACTCAAGATCTTTGTTTTCAATGAATCTTCTCCAAGTAGACTGCAGTTCCCATGCCAATCTGACCAGATGCTTCCGTGAGAGTCTGACTGGTTAGCAGTTCAGCACATTCACAGACAAATGCCGGCAACAGCCTGTGTGGTAGACTAATGGGTGAATAACAGAGGAGATTACAGAGTTGGACAAGCTGCTTTGCCAGCCCTTGAGAATCTGGTGACCAGCCCACTGTGGCTCTATTTACTAGCAATAGAATGGTAACAAAGATACTCAATGTCTGGAGGAAACATTCCAAAACCATGGTAATGATGTAGTGCAGTGGATTTTGAAAACAAAAGCAGAATACTTACTGAGCCATAGAGTTTCCCCTTCTTGTTCATGGCTAAGTAATAGTTGCTGTTAATGGCTTTGACAGCAACAACTCCAATTTCCACTGATGTTATCTCCAAGATACCTAAAACACACAATTTAAAGAGGGATTCCAGTAAAGAGTCATATAAATGTACTTGAAAGAAAGTAAAATGAAACTATTCAGTATATTTTTGACAGTTTTAAAAGCAAAAGGCTTAAAGAAATTAAGGGAAAAAACCCAAATAATACCTGTTTAAGTATGTCAAAAACTCAGCAAATATTTCCAGCAAATACAGGAAACAAATAGTAAAACTTGAAAAGGTTCCCTTCCTTTTTATTCTGAGCATATACAGGAAAATATTGTTTTAATTAAAATGCTTCCTTTTCTAACTCTGCATTTTCAACTCCATAAATATTGAAACAACTCTGCTCATCTTAGCCTAGATTTCACAAAACTTATCAGAGCCCACATCTGTACTGTGGTATTAAATAAAATCCATAGCACATGTCAGTGATATGTTGGCTTTACCCAGTCTGCAGAAACATTGGTAAACTATTTTTTCTTTGTAGTACACTTAGATAAACTAAATCTCTTTGCTATACTTAACTGATAAATTCATTTTCAGCAAACGTGTTGACATTCTGGGATACAGACTAACTAATCTTAACATCCACACTGTCTTTAAAATAACAGAAATCACTACTCTGGATTTGGTTTTTTTTTTTTTTTCCTAGAAAGAAGAAAAAACTGGGGGAATTAGTAACTGAAAGACAAGACCTTTTCTCCCTAATAGAGAAGTTTAGACTGGTGCAGCTAAAGATAATTTTCTTTGAAAAGTTTGTAGGTAGCTGTAGGGAAGGAAGGTTTTTCATATTGTACTCAAAAGCTCACCAGTTTCAGGTTAGGAAGGTCTCAGGAACTAAAACTACTTATTTCACAACTCTTTAGAAAGCTTGCTCAGGGTAGAGCGGTAGCACTGTGATTAGTTCTCCTGGAGCCAAGAGGTCTGGTTTTGACTCCTGGTTCTGCATTTATTGGTGACTGGTCATGGGAGAGGTCACTGAACTTGCACATGTCTCAATTTCATCTCTAAAATGGGTAGCATAATAGTAACTATCTCATAATCTTGTTGTGAAGAAAAATAAGGCCACACACACAAAGCTTAGTATCTCACTTATTTTTGGAGGGAAGCTTTCCCTTAATAGTTTATACACTTTGGAACTTTTTCAACATGTTAATGTAAATACTGAATAGAATAGACAAATTCCTACTGGTGTAGCCTATAAGATCTGAAAGTCAATTGTAAGTTATCATGTGTTACCTATCACTAGAAACACTATACTAAATGTTGTCTGCAAAGTATGGGTTCATACTCTTTCCAGAGGGAGAAAGTGGCTTATTCTTAAGACATGAATGTCTTCTTTCCTCCTTGTCTTTCCCAGGCTGGCCTCAAGGAGGCTAATAGAAATGCTAGAACCGAACACCTCCAATTGCAAAGTAGAGATTTATGGAAAGACTACATGTGGCAGACCATTCTTTCCATGCATCCTGTGGAACATGTCTGACCTAATACGTCTTCATTAACAGAGTATCTCACTGTATTTACAAACCCAAACCAAGGAAAGATTTTGAAGGATGAAGGAGACAGCATATATATTTTTAGCATCTCCTTCCCTTATCCTGACTGTTGCTCTTGTAAACACACATGCACAAACACACACATATTTATTGGGATATTTCTAAATATTCTTTCTTGTACTTTATTCCTTAATTTCCACAACAGCCCTTAAAGAGGTATATTATTCTCTATTACAGATTAAATGAACTGAAGATACTAAGGTTATGTAACTCACATACAAGGTGATAAGGCGACATAAATCAATAATGATGGACCTAACACCTAAGCCTCTGGTTTTTAGTCTATCTTGTTCTCTGCCTCCAAATTTCCTCTCCATAACATCTTCCCCTTCTTGTCTATTTCTACAAGGGGATCCTATTGGAAAACTATCTACATAATGACTTAATGTGCTATTTCTCCCAAGGATGTTGGTATGCCAAATAGGATAATGTCTGAATTTCTGAGAAAAAAATATACTTTCTCATAAGCAGATGATATAGAGCAGGGAGGAGGTAGAATTCTGTAGTAAAATATTTAGGGTACTGTTTACTTTTCTTGCTCCAGAGCCTAGTACCTTCAGTTGATAGTTTCCAAGGTGTTTCTTATGTACCCTTGTGAAACTAAATGGAAAAGAGAGGAATAAAGAATGATTTTAGCAAAAAATAAGCCAAGATTTCTGAAAGCAAATGACAAGTAGTGGATTAAGATACAGGAACTCAGAATTTAAACAACTGATCAACCATTTTTCTGCTCTACAACTAGTTCAGGCTAGCATGAAAGTTTATTTATTTATTAAAATTTGTATAGTTAAATTGACACATAGAATGGTATTTATTTATGGGGCGTCCATGTGATGATAACACATGTGTACATTGATTTATGTTCAAATCTTGATATGCTCCTCAAACTTGAAAAGGACTTACTATCCCTTCAAAACAGAAAAATGAGCCAGGGACTGGAGGTGTGGTTCAAGCAGTAGAGCATCTGCTTTGCAAGCTCAAAGCCTGAAGCTTGAAGCCCTGAGTCACAAAAAAAAAAAAAAAAAAAAAAAGGATCCAGGTGTCATGGCACATGGCAAAGAATCCTAGCTACCCTGGAGGCAGAGGACTGCCAGTTCAAGGCCAGCCTGGGTTACATAGCCAAGACCCTTTTTTTAAAAAAAATTTGTTTTTTAAAAGAAGAGCTAGGTGATAGAATACCCTTTTCCATAGGTCAGTAAGTTAAAATTTGATGATCTTATGGGTCGTGGACAATGACTGCATTCATTATAAATACCTGTGAATGTGACTTTCTGAGAGACTGAGACTGGAGGACTTTTCTACTTTTCATAAAGAATTTCTCCAGTTTTCTTTGTTCTTTGGCGAGGATGATCAAGTTTTCTTATAAAATTAATTTTGGAAAGCAGCTCCAGAACTTTGTTTGAGAACTGTTACATCAATAGCCTATAATTTTATGAGTGTATATTTTGGTGTAAAATTCAAAGTCAATTGAAGGAGCCTCCTGACAGAAAGCAAGTGAAGAGTCTACTGGAACTCTTTATGTTTCTTGTAACTTACATGACTACACCTACAATTATCTCAAAATTAAAGTTATTTGAAATTCACTGTTTTGTTACTCAAAGAAAGTAATACCCTGGGATTATATCATCATTAAGAGAAAACATGAATTGTAGGTCAATATTATGTGAATTTAAAGAAATATTCTTGTAGTGAATTTCCACAATTGTCCCTCAAACGATGAATCTCCCAGTTGATATTGTAAGTCTGTTTAAGGGCTTTGGACAGTTTATTTCAAACACAAAGGGCACTCTTTTAGGAACTGGAAATTCAAAATCAGATGTTATGATTTTTTTCTGGAAAAGTCTGGCTTCTATTGAGAATAAAAGACAAATACACAGAGAATTACCATAAAACATATTATGAGATAGTGAGTGCTACACATTGATGGGAAGCATGGAGCAAAGAAGCTGGGGCACCAATGTAGACTTACTACTAGAAATAAGAACTGAACCGAGTTTTGAAGGGTGGGGAAGAAGTATCCAGGGAACAAAACTGTTAAGGTGAAACAGTATGGCAATTTCAGAAAAATCACAGGAAGTTTGGTTTACTATCTAGAGTATAGGCAATAGGGCCCACGTTGTGAAGTGTGATGCTAGGACTTAAGTGGTACTTAGGCTTGTAACATCTCCTACAGATAGGGAGTATTTTACCCAGAGTATGTAACTGTTTCGTGAACACATTAGGGGAAGAAAGCAACATCTAGCAAATTCCTTTAAGTAAAAGTAGCGATCTTTAACGTCTACTTTAGGTTACCTTTGAACATTAAAGTTGGATAATCAATGTTACATTACAAAAGCGATTGTGACAAAAGTTGCTCTTCCCAGGAGCAAATGGTTCCTAAGGACTCATCCTTAACACGTGAGAGGGAAGGATTTTGCAAACTGATGAGCTACACTGGGGAAAACCCTTAAAACTCACAATTTCCATGCAACTTATTTTCTCTTTTTAGTTTTCAGGGTGTGTGTATATCATTGTTAGTGCTGTCTTTTAATGAATGACTGAGTAATTAATCTGAAAAGGCAGCCATTTGCAAGTGTCTTTTCCAGTGTTTGCTCTTAACACTTTAGAAGAGGAGCGTCTGATCTAGTTTGTCCCCAGAATCATGTTGTACAAAGACCACTTCTCTTTTGGAACTAATTAAGAGTAAATGATTTATTGGCTTGGATGGAAACTTTCTCCTTAAATATTTTTTTTCATGGACACAGAGGAGAAGGTAAAAGACAAACTCAAGGTTTGTTTAATGAATGGATATAGATAGGGAGAAAACTACATGTGAAAAATAAAATGAAATATTGTTATTCATTGTTAGATAGATAGAATATGAATATATAATGGAGTTCTAGAGAATGAATAAATTAGTTTAGATAAAATGTATTAAGCACCAATGTGTGGAGTTGGTGTTAGGTCTCACTATGAATCAAAATCTTTATCTTCCAGGAGTTTTAAAGCTGGATGAGATAAAAGACATCAGTAATTAACTAGATACAATACAAAGATACACTACATGGTATATGAAAGACAAAATGTGCTGTTTGGCTTTAAATCATTAAGAAGTCTTCCTGAAGGAGGTAAAGTGGTGTTTGAAGTGAATCTTTTAAGGGAGTGGTTTTAATAGGTGGGGATTTGGGAAGTTGAAGGGGAATACTCTAGAGAAAAATGTGCATGAAAGAAGGGGATGAAAGAGCTCAACATGTGCTTGAGACACAATTTGTCCCCCTCCCCAAAGCACTCTGTGGTGGTCACTCAGCTAAGACTATGGCCTCTGATTGATTGAGTAGCAACAGTGCTTTCCAGGGTGGGGAAAGTACTTAAAAAGTTATTGGAAAACTTGGAAGCAGTTCAATAAATGTCAGAGTCTCATGATTCAGAATCAATTCACATCTGCTATTTTCTCTAAACATTTTAACTCAAAAGAGACTATAATG